GTTAAAAAAAAAAAAAAAAAAAAAAGTTAGTAGACTTTGGGAAGTCAGTAGTACTTACTTCCTGCAGGCTTTACTGGTAGATGCTGTCAGAGGAGTATCTCCGGGGCAAGGTCCCACTTGCGCAAATTAGGAGATTTCGGCCGTTGATCTTTGCAATCTACGGTCAGTATCTCTTAATTCGTGCAAGTGGGACCTAGGCCCAGGTTGAATCGTGGGGTCCCCAGCCTCAAGATGTTTTCCCCCCAAAAAAACAACCAAAAAAAAAAAGAAAAAAAGAGGTGTTTTGGTAATGAATTATAAGTTCAATTAAAAAGAAAGAAAGAAAGAAAAGAAAATAATTTGAGAGAAGAACGCAGTGTAGTTTTTTTTTTTTTTTTTTAATGAAGAAAAAAGAAAGGAGTAAAAAGTCCGAGTAAGAGTAGACAGTCAACGCACCTGGGGCCAGAGACACCACTGTGAAGAGCAGCAGGTCGGGCTATTGGCGACTTGGCAAGAATTTCGCTTTGCCTGTCCTCATGGGGAACAATGTCCTGCATAGAACGGTGAGAACGGTGATGCTGAGGATGCTGAAGCGCGGAACGGTTGTTGCCGTCCAGCAAGGGGGAGGCGCATCCAACGTCATCCATCTCGGTGAAGTCTTGAGATTGAGAGAATCTACCAGATCCTCGCGCGAACTCCCTATCCCTTTCTTCACGTTGGCGATCAGTAGCACTCCTGTCGAAATCTCTGGTGCCCCATGTTCCTTGCAACAGCTGTGACACCATGGCATAAAGGAACGCCTTCTTCTGCCGCCCGGGCCATACTCGAGCCCATGCAAAAAGGTCCTCTTGTTTCACAACCAGACCCCTCTGGTGAGCCTCGTAGCGATTCCGCAAGGCCATTAGGTTTGTTAAATGAACCATCTCCCCCCCTTTCCGACCCAGGAGGGCCACGGCAAGCACGTGTGGCCGGAACCATGCCACTACATCAAGCAGGCGAACGCTCCCATCCTCCTTCGATGATGAGTCCTGTAAGGACTCCGTCAGAGCGAGAGAATTTTCCAGATACTTGGTGATGGCACTAATTACTAGAGCTTTGACGATCTTGTTAAACGCCTCGTAAAGAAAGGCGAAGAGTGTGAAGAGCAGCAGCACTAGAAGTCCAGCACACGTCAGCACTTGCGCCAAGATCCTGCTGTTGAAGTATGTGTTGGACACCCCCCCTGCATTGCCACAACAGGCCAAAAAAACACAAACATTTTAATACCAAACAAAGTTAAACCAAAAAAAAAAAAAAAAAAAAAAAAAAAAAAAAAAAAAAAAAAAAAAAAAAAAAAAAAAAAAAAAAAAAAAAAAAAAAAAAAAAAAAAAA